TATGCAAACACACATCTAAGCAAGGTAACCTATTCACCAACATTATCTCTTACCATTCTTAATTTTGTAATGAAGCTGATCATCGTCTTGTCCAATTAAGTGTATGTAGCTACATATTTTGATCTAGTACGCTTAAATGCAAGTATATTGAATTATGTAGTAGGTAATTACTTACATATGTTAGTAACAAAGCAGAATGTGGGCAATTTGAGTATAGTCTCTTATTCTATTTGAGAATTGATTAAAGAAGGTTAACTGCTTAAAATAAATAGACCAAAACATGTATTTGGATCAAAAACAAAGGAAGTTATTTTCTGTTCACATTACAGGACTGGGTGTGAGAATCTAAATTTGGCCGTCCAGTCATCCAGCGATCCAAGTGGGTTTTTGACATATTCAAGACAAGACTCCCAAGGTCACCTAGAAATCTCATTTCAGGGAAAAAGAACATAGAGGAACTAATGGGAGGTGTCTATGGGCAACACTGGCAATGATGCAAATTCATATTCTTTTGACTAGGTCTTAGTCCCATGACCACACATAACAACCAGGACGACTAGGAATTATAGTCTATCCTAGGAAGAAGAGGGTGTGAATTTTGGTAAGCAGTTAGCAATGCCTGCCATAGGACTCAAAACAGAACTTGCTCCATTTCTCTATGTAATGAATACTTTTCTTTACTTGCCTTGTTATTATTCGGAACTTCTATCAGGGCTTGCTTTGCTTTTATTTATTTATTTATTTTTCACTATGCCAGATGTTCTATGAAACCTAGATCCAAGCCCTGCCTCTTAGATTTATACATATCAAGCAGGTGAAGGAGGGAGAACATAAAATTACAAAGTATTTTCTCACGTTTTTAAACATAATAGGGCCCCTATTATTGTAATTACTTTTCAGCAGATTAAATTGTGGAAGTATAGGTTAGAATAAAAGATTTGTGAGAGATTGCTCGAAAGAATTTCTCCTAGTTCAACTCTCTTATTTCGTTAACAAGGAATTTGAGGACTGGAGAGATTATTTACCTAATTGTATGGAGAATGTTAGTGGTAAAGTCAGATCCAGGCTCTTTCTCAAGTGCAAGTCTCTTTCCATAACATTATTTGTCATCTTTGTTATTTGCAGTCATATTTCCCACAAACCATGTCATTAAATAATGTTCATCCATTTACAGAGATGAAGAAAAATATAATGTTCATATGTAGAATAACTTTTGCTTATCACATTGAGTAAGGACTAAATAATCTGGCAAATATATTTTCAATGAAAATGAGAGAAGGCCTTGTTTCCTCTTTGTCTGCCTTCCATGACACATGTCTTAGTCTATTTTCTGTTGTTCATAACAATATATCTGAAACTGGGTATTTTATAAAGAAAGAAAATGTAATGCTCACATCTAGAGGCTGGGAAGTCCAATGTTGAGGTTGTGCAACTACTGAGGGTCTTATTATTGGTAGGGACTTTCTTCAGAGTCCTGAGGTGGTTCAGGTCT